CTTTCTCGAGAGATGTCACGTTAGGGTAAAAGTGTCATAGGTGGAACCTTGAAGGAACATCATGTGTCGTCGGTGTACACGAAGGGGTTGTTGCCTTAAATCCTTATAACGAGCACCAAAAGAATAGTGTTGACAAAATTAATAAAATAATTTGAGCTTATTTTTCCAAAATAATTAACTATTTTAATAATTATTTTGGCTTATTTTTATAATTTATTTTAAATTTGAATTTTCTGTTTCTATTAATATTTTAAACTAATGTGGCATTAGGTTAAAGTCATCCAACTTGATGGTCAACCTACGTATCGATGCTAGTTATCAAAATAGTTAGCAATTTTTGACATGATGGGAATTTTAGAAAATTCTGGCCAAAATAGTTCATAAGTGTATAAAAGGGCAAACTAAGGTATAAACCCAAATAATAATAAAAAAAATTTGAAAATTTATATTTATATAATTTATTAAAATTATCTTTTATTAATTTTCAGGCTACATGACATCCTTGTCAGCAATATGTATTGACTCACTAACGGTCAATAGTGTTCACTGTCCAACTTATGATAAACCTACGGATCATGCAAAAGTAGACAAACAGTGTAAAGTTTGGGACATTATGAAGATTTTTTAAACTTCGGTCAAAGTAGTCTATTAATGTAATATTCTACGACTTTGGTGCAGATTGCTCGAGACAAAAGCGATTTTACTCAAATTCCTCCTTACAGATGCGATTTAGCTAAATCGATGCAGACTCCAGCGATCTAGCTCCAAAATATTTGGAGGCACCATCACACCTAATATTAATCGAAAGTTCAGAATGTCGGAACTTTGTGTTCAATTATCCGCTCGATGCATTTTTTTATTTCACATAACCTTTAGAGATATTCCCAATAGCGAACTGTTGCACAACTTTCACTCCAAATACGTTCGCGTTCTACCCAAATGGGTCATTTTATGGGTTTGCTAAATTTTGGATAATCATAACTTTGCGCTCGATGATTCGATCAAAATAATTTTTTTGAATAATTTTATCACACAATACAACTTTTACTATGGATAAATGTTCAAAGATGGCAGGTTTTTCAATTTTAAGGGAGGATAGTTTTAGATTTTTTTTCATCTTTTCGCATATGTTCTGAAAAACGTCTATAATAAATATTGTAGGCCTTGAAAAATTAGGTAAATTAAAAATAATAATTGCGTGGATCAGATAACTAAGCTCAAATTTACAATCGTCCTAAGTTTAGGAAAATTACAAAATGAATCATTTAGGGCAGCAGATTGCTCTTTTTGGAGAAGAAGGCAAACATGGCGGTTTTCAATTGCCAAAATCTCGAAAAATTGTGTGAAATAAAAAAGGCAAAATATATTTTCATAGCCATAACTGTTCGGGTTGTGACAATAATAGCCACATTTTGAAAAATACACAGATATAGCCATTCCGTCAAAAACTTTAACGGTACATTCACAAATGTTGACTAGACAAACAATTCATGGTGATGTGGCAACTTTTTTTCAAACCTACTGCCAGTTGGAAATGTTTACTTTATAGTGTAAATACATGAGAAACAAAAGAAAATTTAAATAAAAAAAGGAAATTAAAACAAAAGAATTCATCAGTCTTCTTCGCCTTCCTTTAATCTTCCATCCACCCGCCCATATTAGGTTCTTCGATCTACCCTAAAATTGAACTTCGGCGAGTGCACAAGAATTGGGGAAACAACAGTAATCGGAACAAAAATTCAATTGCGAAGCCTGAACTCGTTTATGAAGAAACAAAAACAGAGGAATCCCTCTTGTTGCTCCGGCTGCGAATAAATCCGGGGTTGTTGTCGGGACAGAATTGCTGGTTTCGGGACTCCCGCTCAAGACCTCGAAGGTGACCAGATCTGTGCATATGTCAGAACTACGACAAGTACATAGGCCTTCCACTGGGCATATTCTCTGCAGAGCAGAGTGCTTCTCCCTACCTGCGATTACAACCATCCAGTATCCGCCGCCAAACGATAGGCCTTCCATCGCCATTAAAATGGAGTGAATATCAATGCGCCTCCCCCACGAGGCTGTGAGTAGTTGTAGCCGACACAGGGCAGAGTAGGAGAACGACGAAGCAGTGCTTCGCTGCCGCCAGATCCAGACTCCCACCCAGCGGCGCCTTCTTTGGCTTGTGATTTTTCTTTCCCTGTTTTCAATCGAATCTGGGAATCTCGACCACACAGAGGCGGGTCAGATTGGAATGGGGTTGGGATTTATTGGGAGGCGATACGACCCAAGGTGAAGCGAGGGGAGGGAGTCGGAAGAGTGATGGTGATGGTCGAGCTTGAAGGATATAGGGTTTCGAAGGAAGACTCGGAGATAGTCGAAGAAGGGGATATCGGGTTTCAAAGCAAAAGAAGTTGATTGTGGAAGAACTCGACGGAAACAATGAACAAAGAAATTGATCTCACTGGAATGACGAGGCAAGAAGGATGCTGAGGCAAGAAGGGATCTCACTAGATCGAAGAAAAATTCTGGGAAATTTGGGTTGGAACCCTAATTTATGATTTTTTATTTTTTATTTTAAAATTAAAATATGAGATGGCAGTCAGTTGGTGTGACATGGTAAGTTAGAGCTGATATGGAGGCTGATGTGGCATCCACATCAGTATAATGCCAACGTTATTGACGGAGTCATTGATGACGTTAATGTTATTTACGAAGTGGCTAAATTTGTCATTTTAGTTTTAAAAGTGTGGCTATATTTGTGTATTTTTCAAAATCTGGCTATTACTGTCACAAAGTGCATACTTATGGCTATACAAGTGTATTTTGCCAATAAAAAACTGTGTATCGATCGGATACGCGGCCGCAAAATGACGGTCGTTTGAAGTTTCCACGTATATAATATGCAAATCGCTAGAACATCCATCGGTTTTGAAGATACTTGCTAGTAGATGTGGCGATTTCGGTAAATCACATTTCTTCACAGTGATTTGAGTAAAATCGTTTTAGATTCCAGCGATTTTGTACCAAACTGGTATGTTTTGAAAATTTTAGTTTAAGTTATGTATTATGGATTTTTTGTTACCATGTCTGGTATTTTGAGGAAAATTATTGTCTTTCCTGAGTAATCCCATTGACTAACTAATGACCTAGTTGGTTTTATAAAGGGTTAATATCTTATTTTGATTCGAATTATATCCAAATTTTCTATTATGGTCGGTGGTTTCTGAAATTGCTCCACTAGCCCGAACTATGCACCATACTTCCATGTTTGACCCAGCGTGGGTTTTGACCGTCAAATTGGACAGTCAACTTCATTGACTGTTAGTCAAGCGCCATGTCACTTGCCACGTCAGCGAACCCCATATAAAAATTTTGGATTTTAAATTTCTGACAATAATAATTTTCGTTATCTAATAAACATAATCATAATTATTTCCATTATTTTCTATAAATTCAAAATCCAAAATATTATTTCGAGTTCGCTGACGTGGCAAGTGACATGTCGCTTGACTAACGGTCAATGGAGTTGACCGTCCAATTTAACGGTCAAAACCCGCATCCGGCCAAGAAAGGAAGTATGGTGCATAATTCGGACCAGAGGAGCAATTTCAGAAACCATGGGCCAAAATAAAAAGGTTAAATATAGTTTAGTTCAAAATAAGATATTAATCCTTTTATAAACCATCCCATTATCAAAAAAGAACATGGCGATTTGCTAAACAAACATTACTGATAGCAATTCATGTGTGTTTATGAAGGTAACAGAGGAAAGACTTGCAAATGAATGAGGTATTGTATTTAGTATTTTACTATTTAGTTATTGGCCAAATACACTTGTATAACCAAAATTTTGACGTTTTTGCCAAATATAGTCACTTTTGGCGAAATACCAGAAATAGCCACTTCCATCCAATTATTTGACAGTTTTAGTTAACGTGCTGACTGGACTAATAGAACGACTGACATGGCGACATTAGTTAACAACATTGCCATGTGGATTTAACTAAAAAAACAAAAATAAAATTAAAAAAGTTGTCCATCGTTCACGTCTCCCTTGCTCCATTTATTAAACCATTCATGAATTTAATTGTAAAATAAAACAAAAACAAAAACAAAAAATAAATGATAAACAACTATACGTCGTACGCGTCCCCCATCTTCCCCAATCTCTCAAAGAATTATCTCTACAAAAAATTGCCTCTCTCTCCGCTCAAACCCACCATTGCCAATCGCCTCCTCTGATCTTCCACCTCTCTCTTCCCTCTAATCTTCTCTCACATCCGAAAATCATCCCACACCACCTGTTCACCTTCTTCCCAATTCGCCTCACCTTCTTCTAGATCTGTTTCCACCGACGGCACTCCGACAATCCCTGGCGAAAGAGAGATCCCTCACGGCCTTCCCTCGATGGCGAAGACTGATAATTTGGGCGAAGACCGGCGCTGGGCGACGATCTGGCGAAGATCAGACGAGGTGGGTGAAGACTGGCGTTGGGCGACTATTCTTCTATCCCTGGCGAGAGGAAGAAGATAAAAGGGGTTTGGATTTTTGTTTTTTGTTTTTAGTTTTGATTAATGAAATCCCCCCACTCCTAGTCCCCCACAATTTAGGTAGGTTAAAAAAAATACCTTTGTAAATGATGTGTCATCCATCTGTCACTGAATGCTGAGGTGGAAACGAAATAGAGGGTGAGTTGGCATCCACGTAAGCGTTCCGTTAATTTGACTAACGGGGTCACTGACGCTGTTAAATGATGTAACGGAAATTGCTATATTTGTCATCAAACTTTCAAAATTCTGGCTATTATTGGTATTTCTCCAAAAATGGCTATTATTGTCACAAAAGTCAAAGTTTTGACTAAAATGAATTTTGTCTTAGTTATTTTGAAATTTTGCGCGACTACAAAAAATTGAAGCCAACCTCTACACCTATAGACGCAAATAGACAGAGATGCTAAGTAAATGAAAAGGTTTGGCAATAGCTTTGGACAAGAGTCAAAGTGATCAGATGCACCCATTGCGTAATCATAATGATGTATGGGCTGTATTTAATCGACAAATGACCTTTCAAGCATGAACAGGGGGGAAAAGATTATCAAAATATCTTCACAGTTTAATGACACCATCTGCATTACAAAATCAGCGGGAAATGATGAATTCCGCATCAAAGGATCAACCCACTTTTGCATAGCCACAAACCAACTCCAGAGGGCTCTTCTGCAGATGATCAAAAACCACAAACAAGAAATATGAACTTGCTCGCATTGACAAAAGAAAGCGCGCCACCATGGTAACATAAGGTTTTCAAGATTTCATCATCTTATATACTCGGACTCAAGGGGACCAAATCCTCATACTGTGATTCAACATCCAGCTTGGCCTTTTTGTATCTCTTTTTTGTACTTTCAGGAGTTGTGTCCAGTGGAATCCCTGAGGAGCTACACATTTAAGCAAGAACACCATAATCTCATCAAATGAACATAGCTAATCTAGGCTTCTTCACATGATCCCATAAAAAAGGTAATTGTACTTACTTACAATGATGTCTTCATGCCTTCTTGACCACTAATACCATTTCTCTTCATGCTGTCGAAAACTGATTCAATAACAAATCTAATTTCAGCTTCTTTACAAGTCACTTATTTATCTTCACCTCTACTATAACTTTTTTAAAAGTCAAAAGTCGCTTATTTGTATAGCAAAAGCTAAAAAAAACACACAAATAACTAACCTGCACCACTTTCCCCATCCGAGTAGACAGGAGATACTGAGAGATCGGGATGCGTCCCCGGGGAGGTGGCAGGTGATTGGTTGAGTGGATATGGAAAATGATATCTTTCCAAGCCATCACCAGATGAATTACTCTTGGATAGTGATCCTGCAACCACCGACTTCTGATGAACCATGGCATTCACTACTTCCCCTGGATTAGCACCAGAACCTCTCCCACCTTTTTGATTGATCCCTATTACCACTTTTGATGTGGGAAGTATTTGTCGGACTATCAGAATGATGATGCTCTATGGCCTTCTTTGGCTTAACACTATTTTGACGAGTCGGAGCACTTGATTCTTGAGTCGCTTCACAGTGAGGTTTTCGATTATCTCCTTTAGCAGATGACGACGGTTCTGGTTTCTTCTCCTGAGGAATTGCTTGGGCTTCAAGTTCCTCCTTCGAAGTTGGAGGCCCAGGTAACTTTGGAGATATCTCATGCAGGTTTACCACTTTCACTTCCCTTTTCTCTTTACTTTTCATTTGAGACCAAGCTCCAGTGACCTCACTAGGGTCTGCAGTCTTCTGACTCTGGTCTTTAGGAATGAAATAAGATCGAAAGTTTACTCCGTCAACCTCTCTGGCATTTTCTGTATCACTAACAACCTTATCTGAAAGAGACCTAATCTCTGCCTGCTCTATCTAACAAGTCTTTGCAACTCGGATTTTCCAAATTGGTATCATAATTGAATCTAGAAGAATCAGTTCCATGAATGTTGACAGTGTAAGGAGTTGGAGTAATTTCATTAGTGCATATGTCTTCTGCTTGTGTGAGTAGTGCATAATTCTTACCATCTGCACCATGTTTCTTCTTTGTTTTCTTCCTCGGTTTGCCTTCTTCGTTTTCTACCACAGCTTCACTTTTTTTGGTTGGCTGTGCAGATTCCATGACGTTATTTATAACCTCCTCTATTTCCTTATTTGTAACCAAAAGAGAAGCCCTCAGACTATTAGCTGTCGCTGCTTCTTTCACATCTCCCTTTTTAGAAGCTTCATGAATAGAGCTCTCAGCCTTGCATACTTTCTCGGCTTCTCTAGATGGAATATCAGTGGCATAATAATCCGTAACATGATGAGCTTCTAAAGGAATTGGTATTGTTCCACTCATGCGTACCGTATGTCTTCTGGATTTCTTTCTTTTCTTTTCTTTAAAGCTTTCCCATTATCCACAAATGGATCAACCTTGCATACCATAAAATCAACAACTTCTTTCTGCACATTTGCAGAAATTGTCTCATGGACCTCTTGTTCTGTTTCAACTCTACTCCTATCATTGGTTATTAGTTCTTGAAACTCATTGATATTTGAACCAAACACCAGTTTCAATATCATATATCTATCTAGCAAATGTAGAAGCAAGCATCACTTAGCAAAGCTCAATTGGGAAATGGAGATACCTTGTGAAAGAATAATGTTATGTTGCTCTTGAGGAGGATCAGGGTCCTTCTTCGTCAAAGAAACAGCAGAAGGATGCAACACATTGCCACTGTCAATTCCAGCTTCCTTTAGATGTATCTCTTTACCAGCATTGGCCTCATCAGGAGTTAATCCAGCAGTTTTTCTATCTACTTTCTTAGAAGACTTCGTTTTTCGTTTCTTCTTCACCAAGCTTCGGCTAGCCAATTGATCGAATGCTTCCACAGAGCCAGCATTTGGAATTTTCAGAGTAGAAACCACATTTTGTTGCTCATCTACTGTAGATAGCTGAGATAGAACAGGACGCTTACAAGTCATTCCACTAAATTCCAAAACAATAGTGCTGCTATCTCTTAAAGAAGCTTCATCGTCTATCTCCTTTCCGGTTTTAAGCCTCTTGTTTGCTACATGTAGATGGTGTAAATTTTCCTCGATTTCATTAACTATAGAACCCTTGGATCCATCTTTGGAAAATTCCACATGTACCACTTGAGCTTCAGATTCCTCAGCTAAAGAAATTACCCCTCCAGTTTGTATACCAGCAACATTTTGGTCTGAGATCTGCACATTGCCAACAACCAATTCACTTTTTGGTCCAAATTTGTGCATTGACACATCAACGTCTTTACCAGAAAGATCATCTGCCCCCTTTTTGCTTCTCTTCCTCTTCTCACGTTTATCTGCCCCCTTTTTACTTCTCTTCCTCTTCTCATGATTTTCCTTCACACCAGAAGCTCTTTCTGGCAATATGCTGCCTGCATCAATGTTAGCCAACTCCTTCCCCATTTCTGCTCTTTCAACATGCATCTCCTGAGCTTCTTCTTCATCACATTTCTTCTCTCTGAGAGATTCATCACTAATCAAGGGAACCAACGAAAAAACTTTGTCACCTCGTACATCTCCACCCACAAGTTGAACTCCCCCAGCAACTTCAATAAGAAGGTCATTGCTCTCCTTTTGAGGAACTTGTAATTATCTTTCGGGTATGACATGGTGACGCCCATCTATCATAACATTTGCACCTTTATCCTCGAAACCATTATTCATGGTCACTAAGGCAAATTTGGCCTCTTTAGGCTCAATCTCATTATCCTTAGAAACAATAGAAGCTTCAACACTAACAAACCAACCTTTCTTCACCCCATCAAAGACACTTTTAAGAAGAATTGACTCTGCCAAATTATAGTAAACCCCTCTCTTTTTGACCTGCGCAATTCCATACCACAAAGGACAGCCATTTCAGAAGCGACCCATCAGAGAATAAGCGACATATAGTAAAAGAGACAAAAACGGTTCATACCTTCAATGCGTCAATTTTTATTTCTCCAAACTTGGGGAAGCACAGGGGATGCTTGTCCAGAATTTTCTCTGCAATTCCGCAAATGGACCATAAAAAAACAGTTGTGAAGTTCATTACGATCATATCGTTGCAACTGATAATGTTGGTTTGATGGAAACAAGACGTGCGATGGAATGAGGGATTACTCTTGAGATCGGCGACGGTGTTGGATGGAGAGACTACCATGTCCAAGGCCAAGTGAGTATCGAGGCTGGTGTCGAGGAAGACGTTAATGTAGGAATCTGGAGCGCCCCAGTGTCCGGTGACCGGGATCGGCGGTTCATCCATCGCCGATATTGTTCAAGAACAGAAACTGAACCAAGAAAGGGCGGGAACACAGGCTTCGACGGCAGCGGCGATGAGTAGGGTTCAGGGTTTGTTCTCTTTCAACCAGCTTCTCGTGAATTGGCGGCAGAAAAGAAAGAATGAAAAGAAATCAATAAAAAAGAACCGCTAAACCTTAAACTAAGGGGTCGTTTGGAAGTTGTGATTGTTAGAGTTGTGTTTGTTGAATACATGTATTGTGCACAATATCATGTTTGGAAGTACAAAAGTGTTAAACAATGCATCCATTGTTATAGGTAGGTCCCACCAACAATCACAAAAAATGATGCATTATACAATCTCAACTAAAAGTTGAGATTGTTATGATTGTTGGTTTTAGATTTGTGTCAACTTTTTCTTTCCATTTATATCCCCAATAGCTTTTGTATTATTCTAAAAGTTGAGGGTAAATGTGACATTTCCCCATAAAAGTAACTTTATGTAAATCAATGCATAAAATAGAATCTCAACAACCAAACAATGTATTGTAAAAATACATCTATTGTATCAATACATGCATTTATATTATGATGATTCATTACAATGCAACGATTTAACATTCACAACTTCCAAACGACCCCTAAATCGAAGAGAGGGTTGAATGGCCAGCGTAGTGATGTGTGTCAGTGCGTGAGCCCAAAATTTTCATGAGCCTGCTTATGGCCCAGTTTGGGTAATACAAAATTATAACTTCGTGCTTACATTCATTTAACTCAAGGGTGGAAACCGTGGTTATCTAAGAATGAAAACTATGATCAGCAAGGTGGTCGACCCCCGCCCGTCATTATCTAAGAATGAAAACTATGATCAGTAAGGTTGTCAACTCGCGGGTCGACCACCCTGCCCAGATGAGAAAAACATGCCGCAAGCACCTGCCGGGTCGACCGCTACAAGGTATCGGGTTGGAATGCGCCTATTTTCTGATTTTTCTTTTCGTCTAACTCAATCTTTGGAATCCTAAGTTGAACATTTGAATATTGATGTTATATAAGTGTGTGAATATTCACTATATGTTGGATCTAAGTACGATATGGTATTTTGGTGTAATATTATATGTTATAACTCACTAGTACTCAGCCCGCGCTCCGCGGCGGGGTAAGTCTGGCTTCAGTTATTTTGCGATTCTTCTATATGACACGAATGGTCTTTTATTTGTAGGCCTAAAGTATCTTCGGGTTGGGCTCGAAATCATTTCATTATCATAAAAACGTAAAAAAACGGGTCCTCAGTTTTGGCGAGTGGCTAAGGGCGAAGCCGCTTGGGCCTTAGTAAATCCAATATGTTAGCATATGCCCAGAAACTTTAATGGACCTGTGATGTTTGCAATTTCTGAGGATTAACAAACTATTTGATCCATTATTTAGCCGATTATACTTCTTGACTTACAGCAAACTATCTATGCAACCCTGAAAAACTGATTCCCACAAACAAAATGAGCTAGACATGTAATTGAGGCAAGCCATTGACCTCTTTGGATTCACATGGTTGCATCAGGGTATTGCTGTAATCCTACAAAACACATAGTTTTTGTTAGGAAAATTTGCTGGCAAAAGTGTCGAATAGCTTGTTCAATTTAATGAACTCACCTGATATATGGTTTAGGTGTTCATAATATCAGCAAAGGCCTCGGTGAAGACTATGTTCTTTGTAAAATCGTAGGGTATTTCTGTTGGGTTTTGTATAAGAATCCTCAAACCTCTCGCTGATTTTACTCTTGAAACTCCCACATACAGCTGGCCGTGGCTAAATACGGGTTCAGGCAAATAAATCCCAACCTTTTCAAGCGTTTGTCCTTGACTTTTGTCTATAGTCATCGCGTAACATAAGCGTACCGGGAACTGCCTCCTCCTGAGTATGAAGGGCCACTTGGAGTTCTCTACATTGAGTACTATTCTTGGTATAATGACTTCGTCAGTGTCGTAGGAACCGCCCATGATGTTGCCTTTTATAAAATTGTCCCCTAATGTTGTGATCATGATCCTTGTGCTGTTGCATAAACCAAGGGCAGGATTTAAGTTGCGCAAGAGCATAACTGGTGTGCATACCTTTAATGTAAGCTCGTGTTCTGGAACTCCATTGAATGTGAGAATGTTGAAGAACTCTGTTGGATAGCTTTCGTCAAACAAATCCGCTGTTTCTGTTGATAACTGCAATGAATCTGAACTATAATATGTTTTAGAATTGCCTGGTACCCTTTGCAACATATAGTTGTTGATTCTAGAAACTGTCGCATTCGTTGGCGTCACTATTGCTCTGCTGGTTAGGTATGCTGGATCCCTGTGACTGTCGGGAAACGAATCATATATATCATCTGCGATTGACTGGACAGAGTCATCCCCGGGATCAATTAGGAACAGTGGTGGAATTTGTATCCAATCTGGTGGCCCATCTTCTCTGAACGATCTTGCTCTAAGTCTTCCATCTCCTAAGGAAAGGACCCAATCTGGAAACGTATATCCATGCATTAGTTGTTGATCAGCAGAGTGGACCGCTGTTATGCGCATGTTTGTCAATAGGCACATCACTTTAAAAGTATTCCATAGCTTGGACCTAGTTAATGAGCCATCAATCGTCTGTTCACGTCCAGCATCAGTTATCACTGGGAGTGTTTGGCGAAAATCTCCACCAAAGATAACTGTCTTCCCTCCAAAAGGTTTATAATGATGTCCATTCAGTGGAACATTCGATATGTCGCACAAGCTGCGATCTACTGCCTCGAAAGCCTATCGATGGGTCATTGGTGCTTCGTCCCAAATGATTAAGGATGCTTCTTTTAACAGGTCAGCTAGATATGTTCCGTGTTTAATAGGACATGTCGATGTTGCATCTAGAATCAGAGGAATTTCGAACCTTGAATGTGCAGTGGTTGCTTTGGGAAGTAGTGTTGCTGCTATGCCCGATGATGCAACCAGTACAACTATCTTCCCCAAACTTCTGAGTTTTGCTGTAATGACATTATAGAGATACGTTTTGCCAGTACCTCCGTGACCATATAGGAAGAATGCCCGGCCCATCTTGTTGAGGACTGAATTGATGACAAATGTATATACATTAGTTTGCTCAGGATTCAATGAATGCAGCATAGAGGTTGCTAGTGCACGCTGCTCGTCTGTATCGAAGGCCAGATGCTCGTTAATGAGTGGGTTCTCTCCACCACCATGTGAACCATCAGATGGGTTTGGGAGATTAAAGTCCTCAAGTGTCATTGAATGAGAGCTCCACATAGCCTGCAATTCACGAAGTACCCAGTTCTGTAATCGTTCATTAGTGGGTTCCTGGGTTTGGTCTCTGAGATCTTTGGCTAACCTATATGCGTAATCTTCAGCCATTGATTTCCATGATGAATTGAATAGAGCTGCTGGAATTGGAACTTCGCAGAACATTAGCATTGACACGAAAGTGCTCCGTATCACCCGTGGCATGCTGGAAGTCGAAATATCGGACAAAACACGTATCCATTCTGAAGTATCTGATAACAGACCCAGTTTTTCACAAGCTTTTTCAAAATCTGGACACAGTTCTCCATTGACAGTTCTGAGATGAGCATAACTGAGAGCGCCACGGACTTTTGTGAGCACCATTCGGAGGAAAAATACGTCGCCAGAACCTGGCGGAACATATGCAACCCTCCCTATCGCAAATCCTTTTTTGCGAGGGTTCCATTCTTTACAATCAGGAAGCCAGGTGTAATTATTTGGTATCTATGCATATGTCGGGACTCTTGCCTGAGGATCCCTGCGATTAAGAGCAAACCATTCTGTCAAGTGTGTCTTTCCGACATTAGGATTCCCCAAAACATTTCGCACATTGGATTGTTTCTTATAAGGTACTTTTTGCTGACCATCCAAGTGAACTCCCAAACGCACCACTGATGGTTCTCTTACATGAATTGGATACTCATTAAGCCTCCATATGGCTTCATAAGCTGATAGCGATCGGCAGTCTATGTACTGTTGGATTTCATCTCTGTGCTTCTCAGATTGCATTTCTGGATTATTTTGCGGTGCATTAGCGTTTTCAGCAATAACCAATGATCTGTCCGGCCCTTTTGTCACATATTTAAAGATATACTTAATAAGTTTACCTTTGTGACATACCTCAACATTTATATGAGCCTGCATTCTGACCAGCAAATCCCTGTTGTATGGAACAACATGTCGATTGTCAAGTACTACACTTCCCTTTTGAACCTCGACGCCAGTGTATGATCTTCTATAGACTACATTTCCGAACTTGTCAAATGTTGTGGCTGAGTTGAACTCCTTTGGGAATTGTTTGCAACATTTTCCCTTGACGCGTTTTTTCTTATCTCGCATACATGGTGCATTTGTATTTGCTTCACTGCATGGCCCGTGCAACATGAATTTACAGACAGCTTCATATCCAACTGGATCTTGTTGAGGGTCTGGAATTTCGGCTGAGATTACCTCGTCAATGTCGGCTGATGTCCTCAGTTTATTCTCTTCAGACAACCAAACCAACAGATGTATATGGGGCAAACCCTTTTTCTGAAACTCCAATGTATACATGACTGTGGCAAAATTAAGAAAGTTAAAATTGCGAATATACAAATGTGTATTTTGGAAAGCATTGAACGGGCTAAACTTGTATATTGATATTAAATGAGCAACCTATACTTACTTGCAATTGTTTTCCCAAAGTAGGAGTTTTTCTTAATGTCATCTATGAGAATGCTTAGCTTAGCGTGGAAAACCCTTGAAACCACCATTGGTTTATCTGAGTTGTTTGGACCAACAACATCACGAAAGGCTTCGGTGATTTCTTCCCACAATGAATTACAGGTGAATGTGATGAATAAATCAGGGTTTCAAAAGAATTCGACCACTGCCATAGCATCATGATACAGTTGTTGCATATATCGCAGACTGCCTATGTAGGTGCCCGGGAGTACAATATGGCCCATTTTATCTCCGTCAAGATCACCCCGTGCCATCGCATCCTGTAATCCTTGATAAACCTCCGCTCTAAGTTGTGGCTGATGACAGCGCAGAAAAGCCAGCCTGTTTAGTTCTATCGATGAGTAAGCGTCAATACAAAAATGCTGAAGAGCTTTCCCATCCTGAACAATTGTGTGTCCTTCGCCATTGCGATACTGAAGCCTGAATCCATAGTACTCACGCTGAGTAACAAACTGCCTCCGCATAAAAGGCGGGCAGAAAGCTGACCTGTATTTGATTAGTGGATGATAACCATCATCTCCATATGGAAATAAAAGAGGGAAATGTAACGCATCAGATTTTGGATTGAGACTCGTGATCCTCTTCAAACCCTCATAGACATGATCAACTATTATATCGCGATCATCTCTGTCTGGTAAGAAATCACCTGGTATAAGCGCTGCAACCTCAGTGCTGCTAGGCAAATCATATTGCCGATTCCTGCTTTTCGCTCCAAATATTCGTAGCTTCAAATTCGTTGTCGAAGAATCCTGAAGTTGCTGCCGAACTCGCCTAAAGGTTTTGACGAGTTGATTATGTTGATCCAGCATTTGGAGCAATGAAGTGAGCAGCTCTAGCATAAGTAGACCATCACGTGATGCGAAGTTCGCCAAGCGATTGTCGATTTCATTCTCCGGTTCAAAAATATAAAGCTGGGCAAACTTAGGTTTTTCACCATCAGGAGGCAACAATGAACCGATCCTATGATAGTTTTCTCCACATATAACCATCGAGTACGGCCCCCTACCAGGAAAAGAGCGAGGGTCAATAGAAGCACCAAATGATGTAAAACACAATGAACCGTTATATGGTCTGATGTTATCTCTGAAATTCTTAGACATGGCGCCACCATCAAACTGCAGAAGCTCAGCCAACAAACGCGGAGGTTGGGCTATATACGGCAAACCAACACGGCCTTTCTGACAGCAGAGTCCATAGATAGGATCAGTTGTTGCTCGGCGGCGATCAAGCCTCTCCAAATCCCAAAACAAAGCACCACAGAACTTGCAAACACATTTTGGTTTACCTATGTTCAGAATATCATCATGGAGGGGCTTTCTAGCCGTGGGAATGGACCTAAAACAGGATGAGGTTCCAGATGAGTTCTGCAACCGGCAACTATCAGTTTTCTGCTGTTCAGCTTGCTTCGCCTGATTATTATTTTCGTTACATTCAGCTACCACATTGGGTTCCCCTTGCTCCAGAGATGAAATATGGCTCGTTGAATTCTTGGAGGCCAATTGTTTTAAAGTGTGGTAGCGCGATTTCCTTTCCCTTGAAGATTCTGATAAGGGCAATACAGACAAAAGAGAACATTACAGTAAGGTTTTTCTATAATCGAAGATCGATAATGCTTGATGTCTTCATGAGAATCTTATAATTCAAATAACAATGGTATGGTGGTAGTGCATTCATCACCTGATGAAGATGGTAGGACTCGATGAAGAGACCGTGATGGTTCCTGTATATCATTCTCAGACAAAGGATTTATGCCCCCAAACGATGTCTCAGGAACTGCTGAACGATGCAATGGATGTTCCATAAATTCAATTCTGGCTCTTTTATGTGTTAAAGTCTGATAATGAGTCTTTCTTTTCTTGGGAGGCATTGCTGCACAGAAAAAACAGAAACCAAACATGATCAGAGTCATTACTGTCGGAAAGTTCAAATAGTATAGCCGAGACAGTTTAATGAGGAAGAGTTAGAGGAAGATCATAGAAATCATCCTCACTCATTCGTTAGACTCATCAATGAGAATGTCAGATAAAAATCCAGGTTACCTTTGTCCTATTTAGTCCATCAAACGAAGGATTTGAGGGAACAGATGACAGATGAAGTACATGGTGAAGTAAAGGAAGTTCCTGAAGAAAGTGGCATAACCCATTGAGGAAGAAGACATATATTAATATGAAATAGCTATCATGGATATGTGAGCTATGTATCATCCTTATAATAGCATTATAATGTAAAAAGATCTAACATGTTGTTGGATTAATAAAATCATGAAAAGCAATCAGATTAGTTTAATCTTTCGCACAAAAAGAGGCTGCATTATATTATGTTAAGTAAGAAATACGAGAGGTGTAAGAAAGATAAGGAAGATGTCCTCATAATATAAATCGTATTATAGATTGGTTAAAACGTTTCTTTCATTTGAAAAATACGCAGTCAGTCCGAATTGATACGAAGTGATATCGAATTGCAATTTAACAGTTTTGGATACAGTCTATAGGCTCCTCAAAAATGACAGTGTCTCTATTCGAACTGGCTAAGAGACATTGAGATAAACCCCCCTCCCTTCTTCCGTCAACAGTGGAGGTATTGTAAGGGAAGAATAACCAGATATGCTATGGAAAACAGGAACACGACCTAGCTCATATTAGCATCCAACAACATTTAATGAAGGCAATGAGTGCTAGACAGTAGCCTCAGGAAGATCAAAATGCACGAAAGCACCATATAAACATCAACAACAAATGACCAAACATTAGCTAATTAGGTGTTGGTTATCCAATAAAAGATAGAAGGCTATACAAACCACAGGTACACAAACATTGTATCTTCTGATAATATCCACATAGATGCAGCCATTACATTCTCGAAACCCAGGGTCCAAAATGAGAATATCCATGTAACTACAAGCGCTGCATTCACGAAACCTAGATATCCAAAATACGATTGTCTAAACAAGGAGAATAACTTGCGTAAACAAAGCAAAATATGTCATCTCCTTGAAAATCAGGCAGCAGCATTTCCGGGAACATCATCAACCGCACAGAGAAGGATTGGGGCCATCCGTGCAAACTTCAATCCATAACATAGCTACTTCCTGAAATAAAATAAAAATAGCGAAGGAATGAGATACACAGCAGCCACCGCAAAGTAATCGCAAATGAAACATGGCAGAAAACCAAATCAAACTAAGAAAATAAGAAAATACTTTGACGCTATCATCACCTCTTGAACAAAGCACGTTTCGCAGTTGGATTTTTCTGACTGTCAACTGGAGAATCCTCTTCCATCTCAGCACCAGCCTGCGAGGAACCGCCATGTGGCAGAGGAGGAGCATCAGCATCGTCTAACTTATCCACCTTGATCTTGGCGAGTGGAGAAACCAATCTTGAACCAAACATACCTCATAGCAATGAATATTATGGGGAAAACACAAAAACTTTGGAAAATACTAAACTAACTTCTGAACACCTACAATGACGCAGACGAAGAGCCAGCGGCTAAACCAGAGGTCTTCCCAGGAGATGACTCAGGGGATGGCTTCAGAATCTTTGCAGCAGATATCAACGAACCACGACCGACATCCTCAAGGCCGGCAGACTCATCGATTCTAGATGTACGCTTGGTAATCATCGAAGGAGAAGATCTGCCAGATGGTGTACAGGACTGGGCTGAAGAAACAACGGGTACAGCCGCAGCAGCTGGGCCAGAGCCAACCTGTACACTAATCCCCGAGGAATGAGATCTCCCGAGAATCTTAGGGCCAGCAACAGCACCTTCGCTTTCGACATTTGCAGGAGGAGGAATATGCAAATCTTCGGTTCTTGGACTGGGGGGGGGGGGAAAGGCAAACAACTTAGGTCACATTCTCCAATAGTTCCATTAATGAACATAATAAGTATCACTAGAAAATGCGAATACCTAACAGCCTCGTCTGGCCCTTCAGTGATGCTAAACGGAGCTGCTGATACCTCAGTGAGCAGAACACCTGAAACCTTTTCCTTTCCCTTCGCAACCCTTGAGAACATGAACAGACAGTTCGTAAGGCATAGGCAAAAAAACGAAGAACATAAGCAGGAAAACAAAACAGCCAACACCAACCTAGATGAAGCTGAAGAACCGCCAGCGACGCTTGCTGCACCCATAGTTAAAGTCGGAATAGCAGCAGCAGGACCATGTAACGGAGATTGCGAAGAGAACTCAAGTAAATCGCTAACCACCGACGGGTCATCAAGCGGGACAACCTGAGTTACACGGAACTCGCCCGAAGAGAAGCCAGTAGGACCAGGCAATGGTAACTTACAATCAAACTTGACATACTGCCCTCGTAATTGATGCAACTGCGGGGCAGCTGACGAGGACGATGAGGAAACCTCTGGGCCAGATGTGCAGCGGAAACATTAATCAACGAATGGGCACAGCCACCCATCAGTATGAACCGAGCCTCACTAGAGTCATCCCTCAAAGTATGCTGGAGCTTATAACTGAGCTAAAAAATTGCGTTAGCAAAAAAACTTAAAACAGACAGGATATCGGCTCTAATAAGACACAGTCATACTTGACTCGGGTTTGCTCCTCTTCCAGCTGCCAATCTTTTGGGCACCAAAACGAATTGTCAAGACGCTTTGAAACTGCTCTCGAACATAGCTTGCACGAAATGTTATACCAAGGAGTACTCGACTCGACATCCACAATCACTCCACCACAACGATACTTCTCTTCCTAGCAAAGCAAAGAAAACTAATTCATTTCCAAAAGAAACAATGCGAACACTAAATTTTTCAGAAAGAATAGTAATAAACCAGTGAGGAATTCATTCGAGACAAGCTCAACAGGTGATCCAAACTCTTGGTACGTCGATCTGCATCAGCAGTAGCGTCAGCAGCGGTAGCAAATTCCACTGGCAAGGACTCAACAACTTCATGCTTTTCAGTGAACCTAGTACAAACATAAGCAGTATGAACTTAACTATAATGCCACTCATACATAAAATGAACATCCCAACAGGTTACACAAAATCAGAAATGGCCACAACCAACATACCTAGATGCAAGATAGTAAGCCTTCGGTACAGGAGGGTTGATTGCTATGCGTGTACCAGCTGAGCTCGAGAGAATATAATCATCTGAAACAGAAAACACAAGACGAAGAGAAATCAGCACACACCAACATTCCTCGCATAACCCCGATAGGAATACATGCATGCCAGAGAGGAAAAACACCCCCCCCCAACTTATTAACCAGCAAGCCACCGAATGCGAGAATCACAGCTTCAATCGAGTCAGCCTGAGTGAGTGCAACATGGTCCAACACCGCAGAAAACTCATCCCAAAGTGTAATAGTAACCTTCGCTCCACTGAGAGGGAAAACACGGGGACACATGAGGAACGACACAAAAGGAATATGAGACACACAGATAAACCCTAAAACCGAAGGAAACCTAGAGAACCTTTCATCCTTGATGATAACCGTTTGCTTGACCGCAGGGCCGTTATTAGTGATTTTATGCGATATTCCACTGATTGAATGGAGTCGGCCAACGACATCTGCGAAAATAAAACGAAGACTAAACATAAAAACACAAATAAAAAACATTCATATACACAAACATATGCATATCAATAAGAAGCAAGAACAAAAATATCCACCAACCTGTCAAGAAACGGTGATTGCCAGCACGCATGCTCAACTGGGAGAAAGACACAAACTCATACGCATCAACCGAAAAACTCTTAGCAGGAAGACCACAGGCCTGAAAAGAAGTCGAGGGCGAGAGACCCAAAGCCAAATCAAAGGAACATGGGCGATACTGATTCGGCGGGTTGCTCAAGCCGAAGGACTTTACAATATAAATCTTCCCAACAGACAGACAACGATGGATCCCAGCAGCCATTGAAGTCGGTGAAACACCGTGAATCAGCGTCCCCTGCACCAAACACACCACAACGGTTTAAAAAAAAACAAAAACAAAATACAGCGGCAACGACAAAACGAAACAGGAAAACATTGGCGCAAAGCAATGGAGAGTATACTGTTTCGTCGGTCCAAAGAGTACAGTAATTGTAGATTCTGATATCCCCCGGAGACTTCGACGGCCACACATGCAGCAACCGGAGACGTAAAGCAACGCCAGCATTGCGAGGGCCACCGAGATTGCAAAGCAACGTGAACTCCATATTCACCGAGACATAAAGAACTGAAGAGAGAAGGAACAACGTTTAGAAAGAGAGAAGAATGACGGGAAGAGACGAGAGCGAAAATAGTGAACCGATGCCACTAAATTAAAAAAAGAACATATAAATGAGAGAAGGAATTAGCAGGGGCAAGGGTGGCGCGCGTCAGTTATAGGCCCAATCGCGAATAGAAACGTAAAGAAACCGAAACAGCGGCCCGCCGAAGAGATAAGGACGATGTCAAATAGCAAAACCGCCAGCAAGGGAGAGCACAAAAAGCGGGTAAAAAATTCGGCGCGCAAAACCGGCGGGTTTCCGATATCTAGGCAGTCCAAGACAGTCTCGTTCTTCCCAAGGCCCAAATAGCTCAAGCCGCGCACAGGAAACCGCGCCCATCATTACCACCAATTTCGTAAGCAAAAAATCAACACGCAAGGCGAGAGAGAGAAAACAACAAATGCAATGATTATCACAAAGACCAACGGAGAATAGCCGAGAAACGCAATAAAAGAGAATAAAAAAGAAGACAGCGAAGAGGAAATCAGGGCGCAGCTGAGAGCAACGCGGATCTCCGAGAAACCACCGCAGCCAAAACCGCAAGGGCCAGAACCAAATAGGCAACCAATTAAGAAATAGCAGGTGGGACCAGATGCAGACCAACAACCAATCAGGCGAAAGTGAACAGTAAAATTGAGTCTAAATGAATAGTAATTTCGTGTCTAGGCGAACAGTGTATCATGTATTTGCAAATAACTTTTTCAATATGTTAAATGAGATTAGATATAATTTATCAGGATAAGTACAACATAATGACTCTTTCCATATTTCCCGGCTAAACGGGACTAAAAAGAGTGACCCATTAACTCTTGACCCACAAGCTCAATCGGATCTGGGTCAGCTCGCGGCTTGACAACCTTGATAATCATATATAGACATATATAGTTATAAATTCAAAGGGAAGACTCAAATAGCTCATTTGTCTCTTCAATTATATTTATCTATTGAGTGATCAAACCATCAACACTATTACGTTTTAATTAGTTAAGGTATGGTAAAAGAGAAATCATGCATAAACTAATCTATTTATTGTAGATGCTACATTGCAGATACACAATGAGGAATTGAAAGGTGAGGAACTATGATAAAACTGTTAAAAATCGAACAGAAAAATCTAGGGTTACCGATTTGGTTGAGTCGCAGACTAGGTCGCTCTCTTTAAGACATTCGCGACACTGCCTCGTATTGCGCACAACAGACTATCAGCCGGTCCCCTCCAAGATAAAACAGTAACTCATTAAATTTGCTCGGCGATTTTGTGCGAAAACCGGAGCTCTCGGAATCTCATTCTCTCTCGTGTTTCTGCTCTCTGAGGTATCTTTAGAGGGTCTAGGGGTCTGCTATTTATAAGAGCAGAAAACCTAGAATATTCCCTCTTTCTTTGAGAATAAGCCATATTTTAATTAGGAAGATAGTTACTTTCATAATAAATGCATTATATTAAGATAATTATCCTAATTATCTCCATAATATTTCTTTTATTAATTATCCATCTTATATTCGTATCTAGAAAGAATATTGGATAATTAATTCAATATAGCTTTCAAAACTATTCATTCCCAACAATCCCCCACTTGAATAGTTTTGAAACTATCTCTGAGCATCAACAGATCCATAAGATCGGGCATAAGCTAAGGTATCTAGAAGATTTGAACCTTAGCATAGTGGTTACACTTCCGATTTCATAAGGGTGACTCGTAGTCTTCAACCTATCTCAGACAATGTAGCACGCGCGAATCTTTTCATTGAGTGATATTCTCCCATAGGTCGTGCGTTTATGACCATGCACGTTATCTCGGTTTAGTTAACGCTCTAGCAACTTTGTGCCTCCAAAGTTCCATAGGGAGCGGCCCCACTCCCACATTCACATAGGTGAGTCTATCAGAAGTACCTCCAAAGTAAAGTATTACACCCCACATAGGGTATAGATCTCATTAAGAGTTGTTAACTCAACCTCCATTGCTTTGGGATTCATGCTTCACTATGCATGAACTTTTCGCATACTACTCATGACTTGTTATTTCCCATTGAACCCATTTCTTGGGATCTCCAGTCTATTGGGTTCGGGTTACCATCACTTGTAGTTTGTGGTTCGGTAGGCATAAGTCTCATACCCTTGGCGGTATTCTGGACTGTCTCTCTAGATAATCCTTTCGTTAAAGGATCAGCTAGATTCTGTTTGGATATTATAAGATCCACCCTCACTGCTCTTATCGTTAGGAGTTCTCTTACAATATTGTGTTTACGACGAATTTGTCGTCTCTTTTCGTTCTAGAACCGGTTCCCTTCTTTTGCAATAGCTGTGGTGCTATCACAATGACTCTACTACCGGAGGGATCGGTCTTTCCCATAAGGGAATCTCTAGTAATGACCCTCTCGATCAACTTTCCTCTTTACTAGCCATTGCTAGTTTCATCATTTATGATTCCTTAGTTGATTGAGTCAGGATCATTTTACTACTTAGACTTCCAAGACACAACTCTTCCAGCGATGTTCAAAACATACCCACTGGATGCCTTGGAGTCCTCTATAGGGTATTCTCGTCCGCATCAATATACCCTACCAATACAGCAAGAACCGTTGATAACTTGTATCAAGGTCTATTGTTCTGTTAAGGCATCTCATGACCCCGTTCAATAGCATTTCAATGCTTCATACTAGGACAATCAGTAACCTGCCAAATACTCCCACTATGTCGGGTCTCAAGTTTATCAGCTGCCTCTCGCAGACTGTCGATGCTAGTAGTTCTTACTTTCTAACACCGTCTTTGGTGCTCTTTCAAAAATTATACTAGCATCTTCACATATTTATGCAGGAGTACAACTTTTATTTCTTCTAGATCTTTTACTAAATAGTGAAATTGATCTATAAACAAACCTCTTCCAATGTCCTAGTCATTTGGATCTTCTAAGCATAACACTTGCTTAATCTAGATCTTTCACAACAAAATTCTCTAACATGGTTTTCCATATTATTGACCTCATGAGTCTTTGCACAAAATGCGCTTGCACTTTCGATTAAATTCCTGAGAGAGAACCAGATAACTCATGCCATCGTTTTAGAGTCTACTTCAAATCTTACAATGATTTGTCTAACTATGGACTCCATAAGCATGTCCACGAATATCAACCCTATAGGTTGTCCAATGTAGATTTCTCTGTCTAAAACCATTAACATCCATCTGATGCATAACAAAAGCAATCAGAATACACATGAATGTTATTTTGCATATTAGTGGATATGTCTAAGAGAAATATACCATTTTTTCTTCTTCGCCTAAAGACTTAGCTAATAGGCGATCATTATACTCATAAATTAAACCATCAGGTCTCAACTTTCTTTTCAGAATCCATTTATTACCTTGGCTTCATTGCCAGGAGGTAATTCTCAAAGATGCCAAATCTTGTTCGATTCTGTCGATATATTACCTAAGGCTTTACAATCAAAAGGTAACTCAACAAGTTTCTAAGTCTTATAAGACTCTCATGATTCCATTTCATTAATAATGGCTTCTTCCCACAAATCTGCACCTTTATGGAAGTTTGAACTTCTAGCAGATTTGTAGGATCTTTCTTAGGGTGTAAATAACAAACTCATAACCAATAATCTTTAGCGATCCATGGTTCGTTTGCTTCTTCTGAATTCATACTCAGATTCACTACCCCACTAGTTCCATTATTTCTAATAGTAGGCAGATATCACCCCCACTATTTCTTAATATAAATGAAAATCTATTGGCATCAATGGATTTCACAAACTAATGAGTATTTCATTTTCATAGGCTTATGTGTTTTACTATAGCTTAACCAATTAAAACACATTCGTATACTCTACTAGTAATCATATTTCACTCACTCCGGAGTACCACAAGTCCACAAGCATAAACATGCAAAAAGTATTACGACAGATAACTAGATTAACAATTAGAGCACTCAATAGAGCAATAAATCGTTTATTGCCTTTCAATACGTTTACCCAAAAAAATAAATAAGATCTTTTCGATTCTCATTCTCTATCCTCATGTTTATGGGTCATTTAGCTTGTATACAAAATTCGTATTTATCTCAAGTGTTCAAGAAAAATATGGTAATGTAACCTCTGATATTCTAATTTTTCACAAGGACACACATGTCACACAGAAGAATTCACTTAATCATTCCTTTCATCTAGCATAGCTAACGAATTTGTAAATGTAAGATTCACACCCACTTTCCCAGAACCATCGACAATAGTGGTGAGGGCACTACCCAACAACACTTTCTCCTTCGATGCACCTCAATGTATGATTGAGCTTAGCTCCTTTATCACACACATGCCTTGAGGCGCCAATATCCAACCATCATTCTTCAGAGTTACCTTTATGGCCTACCTATGTCATCACCTCAGTGATCATTACCACCAAATCCTCTTCTTTACTCAAGTTTACGCTAGGTTAAACTTGTTCTTACACTTTCGTGTTATATGACCTAGTTTCTCACAACTTTAGCAGAAAAACACATCGTAATTCTTAGAGGATTGGTCTCATTCCAAAATTAGAAGATTTCCCGGCCCAGAATCATTCAACCATTCTTCTATCTAAATTAACTTGCCATAGAATTTCTCACGTGAGTCCAGTTTGACAAGGGAAATTAAGGACCCAATAAAATCCCAACTAAGTACTTCCCTGAAGCGGAAGTTCGAATTCAGTCGGGCCTGTCCACTAGTCGGCCCACATCACTTCATTAGGCTTGTTGCGTTTTCTCCTTTCTTTTTAGGGTTAATTGCATGGTTGGTCACTGAAATTACAAAAAGAGTTCATGTTTGGTCACTATAAATATTTAAATCCATTTTTGGTCACTAACTTTACAAAAACCGTTCATTTATGGTCACTCTCCGTTAGCTGCCGTCCAACGCCGTTAACGACGTCCGTTAAGTGATGACGTGGCTGACGGATTTGCCTAATCAGCACTTTTTAACTCCAAAATTGACTGACCCGACCCGCCACGTCATTTAAACCCGCCATGTCAGCTAAACCTAACCAAACCTCTACCCAAACCCGACCAGACCCGCTAACTAAAACCAAACCAAACCGATCCTGCTGCGGGTCCAGGTGCTTCGGCGCGCCGTTGTTGTGGAACGCCGAGTTCTCGAAGTCCTGGTGCATCGTGTCGTTGATTATGGATTCCAGGTGGTGGAGGATGGTTTTGGAGTGGTTGGAATGCACAAAGAGCAGGGTTTCGATGAGTGGGGAATCGGCCGCGTCTTCGATTTGGGAGATTAGGGCTTTGCAGAATTGTTTGACTGAGAGTCTGGATTCGGCCACCATTTGGAGGAACCCTTCCACCATTGCTTCGTCGGTCACTGGGAGAATGGATGGATGATGATTCGAGTTGTTGTTTTGTGAGTACCCATCGATTGATTTGGCTCGCCCTTTGGATCTCGTGGCGGATTTCAGAGCCTTCTTAAGCTCCTCGCAGTAGCCCTCCAGGTGTTCGATCTTTTGCCTCAGTGGGCCTAACGAAGCTCTCGTCTCCGCGACTTCTGTCAATGTTGCGTCCCTAGTTTCATTCGATTCCCTCAACTCCCTCCGCAGATTCTCGATCGACAGCAAACCCAGTTCCCCGAATGCCTGCGAGACCTCCTCGGACTCTGTTCTCACCGGCGAAGTGGTAGCTACGTTCTTCGTGGGCTTCGTCCTCAGCTTCGGAAACAGGCACGACATCATTCCTTTGCTCCTCGGCTGAGACTGGACGGAAGCGTGGGAATCAGTCAATGGAACTACGATGTTGGAATGGATCTTGCTCTTTCGATTCTGAGCTTCGAAGTCTGCTATTGCGCGGGAGCGGTTGTTGCAGGAGGATGACGATTTGAAGTCTGCAAAGTTTAGTCCTCTGCTTGATTTGTAGAGTTCTGCTGCTGTCGTCGTTGTTGTTACTCCAACGCCGGGGGAACTATGGAGAACTGTGATGTTGTTGATGCAGTGTCCGGTGACGGATTTCTGATCGTCGGCGAAGTGGATCCCTTTCTCCTTCTTGAAATCAGACAAAACGGTCTCGTAGCTCATTGTCCCTCCACCTCCTTCTACGCCGCATTCGTCCCAGCTTTCTGATGCTGTTCTTGATTTGGCCGGCGTCGAGTACTGACTCCCTGGAAATGGCTCATCCTCGTAGTTCTGTGCATTGAAAGTTAAATTCGGTAAGGTTCATTTCTGTTCTTGATTAGGGTTTTAGTCAAACAATTTTGGGGGTCTGGTTTGGTTTGGTTTTAGTTAGCAAGTCTGGTCGGGTTTGGGTAGAGGTTTGGTTAGGTTTAGCTGACATGGCAGGTTTAAATGACGTGGCGGGTCGGGTCAGTCAATTTTGGGGTTAAAAAGTGCTGATTAGGCAAATCCGTCAGCCACGTCATCACTTAACGGACGCCGTTAACGGCGTTGGACGGCAGCTAACGGAGAGTGACCATAAATGAACAGTTTTTGTAAAGTTAGTGACCAAAAGTGGATTTAAATATTTATAGTGACCAAATATGAACGCTTTTTGTAATTTCAGTGACCAACCATGCAATTAACCCTTTCTTTTTATGATACGATGGTGTTCCACTGTTCCTCCATCATGGTTGAAAGCTTGAAGCGGGAGTTTGCTGCGAACGAGGGTTTCTAATTGGGGGCAACAATAATTGCTTCCAGACCCTTCGCGCGACGGAACCGGTGGGAAGTACTAACCCAGTTTCGCCCAGACGAACTCCATGTCTCCATCCATTGCTTTCTGTGTCCAATTTCTTCTAGAAAATGCCCAAATTCCTTCCATCCCCATTTGGTTTCATCCCACGCCAGCACCAAGGAATTGGAAATTGGAGGGAATTAATTCACTGCTTACATGTGGACCTGCATTGAAAGAGCACAAAATACTCTGCCCAAAATTATTGTTAAAGGCCTTCCTGTCTCTTTTAATCACCGTTATTTGGCGGCTACTGCTTCCACGTCATGATGCTAGGCAAGAATAAAGGCCTCCACGTTAAGCTCCCGATGCAATATATCGACAGAAGTAACAAGTATTAACACCACGTTAAGCTCCACGGTAACCAAACGTCTTAAAATTGTTAAAAATCGAACAAAAAAATCTAGGTTATCGATTTGGTTAAGTCGCGGACTAGGTCGCTCTCTTTAAAACGTTCGCGGCACTGCCTTGTATTGCGCACAACAAACTATCAGCAGGTCGCCTCCAGGATAAAACAGCCACTCATTAAATTTGCTCGGCGGTTTTGTGCGAAAACCTGAGCTCTCTGAATCTCACTCTCTCTCGTGTTTCTACTCTCTAAGGTGTCTTTAGAGGGTCTACGGGTCTGCTATTTATAAGAGCAGAAAACCTAGAATATTCTCTCTTTCTTTGGGAATAAGCCATATTTTAATTAGGAAGATAATTACTTTCATAATTACTTTAATTAGGAAGATAATTACTTCCATAATTATCCATCTTATATTCGTATTTAGAAAGAATACTGGATAATTAATTCAATATAGCTTTCAAAGTCTTCATTCCCGACAAAAACTCCGATTAAACTGTGTGACTAAATGGTTTAGAATTTTGGTAAACTATACATTCCCCTTACTGTTCCAAAACCATATCTTATGCTCATTTGTTTCTCTTCAATTCTATTTATTTGCTATTTTTTGTGGTACCTAAAAAGTGATCAAGACATAAATTTTTGAACAGAAGTAAGTGAAGCGAAGGAGACTTGGGGGTTAAATGACCCCAGAATGTCTAACCTTTCTGTGTATTATTTATAATAGTAGTATGCGACTATAAGTATCATATGAAGAAAATCTGCTCAATCCACTAACATCCAGAGCTAAAATGTTAGCAGATATATTCAAAAAAAGATGTTCAATCTGTCTGGTGATAACTAACAGGTAAACATACCAGGAAAAGAGGATCATGTTGAGGACACGATGGGAATCATTTGGAAGGTTCTTTAAAATATTTGGGGATGTAAAGCTAATGCACCATATAAGCACCTTGAGAATTTACAAGTTGTTAAAGTGGACAATTTTTTTACAAACAAAAAAATTTAGTTAATAATTTATTTATAGAGTTATCTCTCTCTTCTTTAAATGATTTTTTTTATTTTATTCAATAATTCATTTTTGTTTTTTATTATATCTAAGTCTGTAGCAATAGACTAATATTTGTAGAGTGATATATATAGTGTTTGTTTAAACAAAAATATCTTATTAAACTTTATCAAGCAAATTTTCTACTTTTTTTACTAAAACTTAAGATATCAATGCTATGATTTGAACCATGGTCCCTTCCATCAAATACAAGAATTGTAACCAATTACACTAGACACATTTGTTGTACTTTATTAATACAAACATAGAGGAAGTTAAAATTATGGAAAACAAAGTACTTTTCTATCACAGTTAGTTAGCCCGCTAAGTCTCCTGTAAGTATTTTGTGGAGTTTGATACTTCTATTTTCATATTTTAATAATTAATTTATAATTTTTTCTAACTTATAAATGAAGGATCATCTTAAAATCTCAACACAAATATCATTGGTTGGAATATTGCGCATTGAATTGAAGTGTTCAATGATAATATAAGGACACTGGTACCATACATTTCAAGATAAATAAAAATGACAAACACCGATACCAATTATCTCGACAGACTATGCTAAAATTCGAAATTGTTTAATCAATCAATTTGAATGATAGTTTAGTCAAATCAAGCAAATAATTCACGATTGTGCATGAACAAAAATAAAAACGTATGTATTGTATTATGAAAAATGTATTTATTTTAACAATCTAAAAAAAACAATCAAAACTTCCATACGACCCCTTATTTCAATAATGTAATTAATGAAATAATTTTTATCATCATGATGCAATGTTCAAGCTAAGGTCCAAGTATTAATACCAGTATATAGTATTCATCATAGTTAACTATTTCAGTATCCACAGCTAACTATTAATGGTTACTTGCTTTCTCTTAGAGAGTTTAATGTAACACTCTCATGCCTAGCTATGCTCTAAGCATTTGTTTTCTTTTTCACAATATCATTTGCAGTTATTTATAAATCAAGTTTGTTTCTAGCTTTCAAATCCTAATTATTCACTTATTCACACCAACTTATGAGAATGCTAAATATATTTTTCATGTCTAATCTATTAAACATAAATGTTGCTTATCACTTAAATTCAATGGTATCCATGTTAGGTTTGATGTCACCAACATATTCTCCCAATTTCTCCTAAAAGCATAATATATTGCGCTTGATATCATAGTTTCGTTAGGTAAAGTTCAACAAACTCAATCAATATTCGAACTCTTCGAAATAGCTATCTACATGCGAATATGAAGTACTGAGTAGCTAAAACTCTACTTGAGTTAGTACAATCTTTTACGCTATCGATTCAAAATTCAATACATGGTTATCTTAGTACAATTTAGTCATACTAATTGTGCAGTAGGGGACATCTTATCAAAATCTTAAAGAAAGACTCTTTGATTGATCGCTTTATTGATGTAATCAATTATACCCAAATAGAAGTGATCAAATTTATAAGATGCGCTCAAAGTTTGCTATAATTATTGAGGTTCAGCAGCACGTTAGGCGTACGACGGTCATTGGGCATTTGTCTATCTCTTAGCTCGCCTAGACATGCTTAGACATTATAATAAAAATAGCAATTTTAATAATAATGAATAAAATAACGATTCTGAAGCAATTTCATACTTTAGTTCAAATGATTTAACAACAAACGAAATAACTCTCAAGTTTAGAAATTATTTTCTTTTACCAAATGATATAATTAATTCATTCATGAGTTGAAATAGCTAATTATAAGCACTTCAAATTTAAGTTAAAACTCTATATGATGCAATTGTTTGACGAAATGGGTTTTATAATAGAGTGGTTCTATCGAGAGATGTCTCTAAGAAACATGGTTTACTTTATTATTCCTTAGGTGGATATAATATCTATCTTTATCGTTACTTTTACATTGGATTCAATTTAGTTACTTTTTCATTTAGATAGATTTGTTTATGATGTTCTGGGATATAATATATCATTATATATGATGGTGTAGGATATTAATTCCTCTCATTTTAGGTTCAAATAGCTGCATTTTCCCCTTAACCGTTTCCTTTTATTGGTTAATAATTTTTATGATATTTTTCACTTTGAAACATCGTGAGCGGAATCTATACACAGCAATATGTGTTTTTTTCGCTTCCTCTTCTCTTGGTTAGATATTGTGTCCATATTGATTCTTATATTGATTATCGAATTACTACTTTTTTGTTCTTTTTCCTGATGCAAGATATGATTTTATGTTTGATAATATAGATTTATTTTGCAAGCATGTGGATGCTTGAGAGTAGGTTGTCAACCCGCGGGTCGACCCCTTGGTCGACCGAATTTGACCCTGACCCGGTGAGAAAAATGGGCTGTACGCACCCGCCGAGTCGACCGCTACAAGGTATCGGGTTAGAGGTCAAATTGTGTCATTTTTTTCTTTGGTTTGCGAAATGCGCCTATTTTTTAATTTTCTTCTCGCCTAACTCAATCTTTGGAATCCTAAGTTGAACATTTAATTATTGTTGTTATATAATTGTGTGTGAATTTTCACTATATGTTGGATCTAAGTACGACATGTTATTTTAGTGTAATATTATATGTTATAACTCATATGTTAGATGACATTTGATATAATTTATCAGGATAAGTATAATATAATGAATCTTTCCATATTTTCGGGCTAAACCGGGCTAAACCGGGTGACCCATTAACCCTTGACTCACTAGATTCACCGGGTCCGGGTCAACCCGCGGGTTGACAACCTTGTTGAGACTTTTCATTTGCCTCATAACTTACATATTACAATGGCTCCAAACTTGGACGGGTTTCTATTCAGCACATAAATTTTTAATGATGTAAAATTTATGAAACTAAGATGAATATTAATAAACAATGTAAGGTCTCATCTTCCCTCTTAAGCACTACATATCATTGTTTACTTACCATTAAATCAAAGTCTTTCTAACTTGAATAAGAGCTACAATGACTTTTATTAACTTTCACTACTCATATATCACAAGTGTTCAAATCATTATCAAGTGTTCATACAATGATTTTTATTGTTGTGGATTTCCCCCAAAATGTTAGGTATGCTGCTTTT